AGTAGTGTGGTGCTAAGCCTGACAAGGCTTACTGACGATGCCGGCGAAACGTCTGAGAATTTACCAAGTCCACGGTCCGATTCTGGAAATTATAACGCATACAATGGACTTCGGACTAGGTGCGTTCCTCTATGTCTTCCTGCCAATATGACCAAGTTTCGAAAATGAGGTCAAACAATTTTCAGATATCATGAACTTACTTTCGTGCTCCCATTTGGCCAAGATACTTGTCACCAGATCGGCAGAATTCTGTTCACGACATTCTATGAAGTACGAGATATCACATGAATCGTTTCGCTTTTTGATGAGATCATTCAGCCTAATGAAAATTGAGGTCGACTTGTTCTCGGTAGTAAAAGTAAACAAGCGAACATCAGCAGCTGATAAAAAATGTTAGGGTGAATAGATTATCTTATAGTAAATACAATACGTAAGTATAAAATGAATATATGAATTATAATAAAGCTTTAGAGCTAGAAACTTTGTTGAGATTTGAATGTAATAAAAAGGTCGAATGAGTAATCTTTAAAGTGTATCAAGTCATGCGGTAAATTTGTCAAAAGTTCGTTTGCTTGTTATAGCTGTTCAATCTCTTTAAATGAACACCAGGATGGTGTGGCCTTGCTTGTATCAGTTTTGTTTTCAAGGTAGCATAACATGCTTTAAAAGAGCATCGACTAAAGTTGTAATCACATAATTCATTAAAGCTTATTAATTTTGCAAAGGAATGACTATTGATATTGATTAGTTAGGTCTGTAAAGGCTAGGAATCCTTTATTTGTTACATTTGGAATAATTTTATGATAATGCCCATTAGGCTACCGGCCAACGTATGTGGAACGTATATGTACAAGACTCCATACGGATCAAGAACGATAATGGAATTACAAGAGGGGCCCATATAAGGCTTACTGGAAGCTATAAGAGATGTATTCATGCTATTTCGTTGAGGAGATAAGGGGAGTAGAATTTTTCCACAATGATATAAGTAGACATGACGTTTACATTTAATTTCCCATGGCCTTTCTTTCACGAAAGTTATTCTTATCCAAAGTGGACTGCAGTTTCGACCTCGCCCAGGTCTTATCAGCTGCACTCAAATTATGTGAGTGGAACATTTGGGAAAGACTATTTGTAATTTAATGCAAACGTCATGTTTACTCATATAATTGTGGGAATATTCTCTTGCAAATCCCTTTATCACCCCGAACGAAATAGGGTGAAAACACCTGATGTATATAATCTAATGAAAGTCTTCAAAGTCTACTTATAAACGAAAGATAAATAACGTAGTCGATTGCTATAGCAAATATAAGATTGCTTAATATATAATCCCACCACAGAATGCGATATTCGAAAATGTCTGGTCTTCCTTAAAATTTACAATTACCCTGTGGCCAAATGGCACTCGTGGCAATATGGCGTCATGGCACTGTCATGTTTCGAGACCCACTGGAGATGTTGATAAGACCTAGGTGAGGTCGAAACGAGAAATTACAAGAATCTCATTGCAAATGTATCTAAGTTGAGATGAAGGTTATAAACCAGATCGACTGCCACCTTTTCCTGCAAAAGTGGCGACTATGACACCATCCTCCTCATTTACCCCCTGAATGACCTCCTCAAGATACTATCAAATGCTACTTATTGCCTTTTGGATGTGAGCTTGTGAGAGCACATTCCTTCTGTGAATGTAATTCAAATCAGAGGATACAATCGGTACTTAAATCCTACGCCCAGTGACCTTGTATTGATACAAAAGAGATAATGGTACTAATATAAATGAGGCATTTTCTATGGAGACTATCCAATGCAAAGGCATTTTCCAGTTCCTTGCTGTGAAAGATGGGAAAAAAATCAGTCTTCCTCACCAGGCCGCTCCAGGTAGGACAGAACTGTCGTCTGCCCTATGTTGCCATCAATGTGTGGCGTCACACGAAGCATCTGTGTCTTGCAGCCGTACACCAGAGGTAGTGGCACCTCGAGATGTTCATCGCTCGTGTTTGCCACCTCAAAGTTCCATATTCGAGTATCCTCGAATGAGATCTGTATACGGTATTGTATTGGCAGACCATCAGGCAGCTCCAGAGGCCGGTTCCAGACGGCTGTTAGCTGCAGATTGGAACGATCGATAATAAGGTCCCGGACACTCCGAAGTGTTGTCGGTTGAGCGACTGGGATAATTATAACAATAAAACATTAATATTAATTATGAAGATCAAGATATTGTTGTCTCTTTTCGATATGTATCTATACATATATAGTAGATATATGGTGGCCTGATTTCGTTTTTGGAACTTGGTTATGTGGATAAGGCGACCTAGTTTGATGCACCTTGTTCGAAGTCCTCTGGCATATTTATTATTATAATTACTAGCCTTGGACCGTGAACTTGGTACATTACCAGACGTTGCGTGCACAACAGGGCAAACATCATCCGGGAGTCCTGCCGATCTTAGCAGTAAATTAAAACTCGTCAAAGATACAAAATAGGTCAATTCCTTAGCCAACTTTCTGTCCAACGGTTGTGTCATCACTCCTCCTTCTGCCCGTATGCATCTAACCAGTCCCTAATCTAACTCACAAAAATGGGTACACCTCTGAGGGGTCGAATATAAATAAGCCAAAAGTTGTGATAGGGAGTGAGATAGGTGGAATTACCATGACAGAAGGAGAACGATAACACATTGTTCGGCAGAAAGTTGGCCAAGGGATCGACTTCAATATTCTCTTAAGAGTTGTAGCTTGGTACACAAACTCGCTGATATCTGGGAATGCACGAGGTCTACGGTAAAATCATGGATTTTATCATACTAACTATACCAGATGACAATGGACGAGGTACGTCCAACTGTGTCATCTTGACAACCTGGCCAAGTTGCGAAAATATAACATAAACTACAAGGATACAAGGTATTCTCCTAGCCTGATCTGATCTGGTCTAGCGGCACCAAGAAACAACTGGGACATTACTTAAAAAAATGAATACAGTATTTTTTCTTTTTTTCTATTTTCTTTTACTTTAGAATAGGTTGGGTCCAAAAATAAATTAGAAAGATTCAAGGGTCAGGCTGAGAACCTGCATAATTCACAGTTAGGTGGGATTCTATTTTTATATTAAACTTGGATAATGTGAATACATCTTATTACTCATGCAGTTCAAGGCAACCATATTACTTCTATGAGATGTAGTGTAGATAACCGGTTGTTTAAAATCCTACTTATAAAACGAACAACAAATTACTTATGTTAGATGAAATAAAACTACAGCCCGCCCAGGTTGTAGTTATGGTATCATCTTTGTCTCTAGTCTTTACTAATAACTTCATGGCTTAATTTGAGATCCGGCTTTACAAGAGTCACTCCTAGTTCCGAAAATATTGGTCATATATATATATGGATTCTTACTTTGCTATCTAGCAGTATGGCAAAAGTATTTGGAAGACTTCCTGGATTAATGAATAGAATAGATAAGACGACTAAGTTCATTATGGAGTTAGATAAGGACAGTAAGATACACTTTTAGATGTCCAAGTTATTAAAGAAGGCAACAAATTGAGTAGAGATGAATAAAGCAAACGCTTCTTAATTTCTTCCAGAATCATACTTATGCTGTTAAGGTAGGAGTAATTAAATCAGGGATAATAAGGAGTTTACGTCTAGAGTACGTAAATCATCAGGAACAGGAGTTAGAAAGGCTGAGAAAAATCTTAGTTGAGAACATTACCGTTAGGATTAAGGGTTAATTACAAAATACTAAGAAATATGGCAAAAGGAAAGCTTTATTTGAGATAAAACAAGTAATTAAACAACTCTTTAATCGAAGGTATGAAGACCAAGATGGTGTGG